GGTGTCGTGGTTGCCATGGGGACCAGGGGGGGCCTGGTGTCGTTGCAGACATCCTGGCACCCAGTTTATTGGGTGAGGGGACTGTGACGATTTGTTAATCTAATGAATAACTGATTTGTTAAATCAAATGAAAAAATGTGTGTTTGATTGGTCCAGACGCTACAACATGCAGAGATGAGAGCCCATCTGCTTCAGTCTCACAGCTCCAGAACCAGCCTCTTCTGCCAGCATCTCTTTCTCTCTCTATATAGCCTTCAGCTGTTCTTCATTGAGCTCAATATTCAACAATATATCACCAGAAAAGATGCTGATAGACTCAACTCACAAAGGTGCTGAACAGGTGAGGGTAAACACTCTGATAGCCAAAGAAAAGCCTTGGCAATGTTTTTTCTAAGTGTGTGTGCACTGCTAAATGGAGTCTGTAGCTCTCATGGCGGTGTGCCCAGGGCAGAGGGGAGCAGGTGTTACAATTTTTGAATCAACTATCCTGTATGACGTTAAATCAAACTGGCTATTCATATCCAACATGAAAATATTATATCAAGCTATAAAAGCTTATTTCACCACAAAACGTGTTTAACTATTATACAGAGGTCTTACAGTCAATGAAAATCATTATTACACCACATTGGACAAACATTCTGTTATTAGAAGCACTCTGGGGATATTTTTGAGACCAGCGCACACGCTTTTTCCTATTGAATGCCTGAGATGTGCTCACAAAAGGCTAAAGAGTGTGAAACAAAGGCTTCTATGAATGGTTGAAAGGGTGCTGCAGGGGTTAGCCATGGATGGACATGCTCGTCATTCTATTCTGTGTCATTTAATTGTATCCAGGCCAATGTCAGCATTGACTTGTCAGGTAAAAACAAACAGGATGCGCCTCTTTGTGCCACTGGTGGTGACCTCCTATAAAACTGAGAGCTTTGGGTTCACTTCTTCGTTCACTTTTGTGAAAATGTCCTATCTGCAGCACAATGGCCACTTACATGTCTTCATGCTGCTTCACTGGTCTGTTCTCCTCCCCATGGGTCTCATTTGAGGAAGCTGCCTGCAATTGGAAAGATGTGCGCAACAGAACTGTTTGAAAGGGCTGAACTAGCAGGGATCCAGCGGTCCTCTGGGCTTTCATCTGCCAAATAACATCTGGCCTACAATACTTTAACAACCAGAGTAAGCCTTTATTTCCTCTTACACTTGTATGTAAAACTGCTGTTTTGAGCTTTGGTGACTTTTAATGACTTAAGGAAACTCAGTAGCGCCCAAAACAGCAGATGTATGTTGCCTTTGGGATGTGTCTACAAAATGCATAGTGGGTCTCACTGAATTTAGCATTGACAATGTTTTTATTTATTAGTTTAAAACTTTAATGTATAGTATAAGAATAGTTCTGAATATCCAACTATACGTCATTTTAATACACTGTTGTTAACCAGGCACAGCCATATCAACAATAACTGCATCTAAAATCTGACTTAACTAGTATTTATTTATTTAGTAATATACTGTAGCGTTCTCCCACAAGGACGAGGCGTTTTGATGTACAAGGGGTGTTTATCTGGGCTGTTGTCGGCCACAACCCACGCCGTACACACCCCGACTTCTAAGAGAACCGCACTTGAACCAGCGAGGCACTCTTTTCTCCACTCCTTTTCTCTGTTTCACCTTACACACACACAGGGGCGGAGCCTCTTTTCACATCCAACTCGAACATCCAATAACAGTTCGCAACACAAAAATGAATAAAGTGCAACACTAACATTAAGCACATTGTTATCTATAACACAACACCATTTTGAACATGCTACAATACTTAGTTTTTCATCTCATTTGCATAAAGTTTAGCATTTTTCAACGTTTTGATGCTCTCATCACTTGCCTCACTTCACTGTTGTTCAGCTCCCCTAAAGAAATATGTAATATGTTCTTTCTGTGCCAATGGACACATACGGTTAGAGCAATCAAAACACTTTCTGTTCCCCCAGTTACTGACTGAATTAAGGTGCATGTGCTGAAACAGATGTCCATACAGATGTCAAGTTGCAGTTTGTGGATAATTTGAACAGAAAATGATGAACCATGAGATTGTGCCAGTAAACAGAAAGTGCCATATAAGGAAAGTTTTCCTATCCTAGCGTAATATACACACACAGGCATTGGTTGATTTCCTCAAATATTGCTATACTTGTTTGAGCATCAGCACAACTAAAAAATGTTGCCTTAACTGGTTGCAACAGTGTGACAGACTCTTTTTCAGTAGCCTTCGGTAGTAAATTACAATATTAAAAACTTTGATTTGACACACAAAAAAAAATAATAATTAAATTGAAAATCAGACAAAAAGACAGTAAAAAGGTACAATGGTATGTACTTCGCTTTAATGAGGGAAAGATCAAATGAAGCATTGCAAATGACAATCAAATTAAAAACAATGGAGAAATATGAAACTATATAGACTATATATACAAACTATATAGATATAGACTATATATACAAAATATGCATTTACATACAAAAAATAATAAGTCATTTGAAAGTGTAAAAGTAGACTGACTCCAAGTCATTTGCAGTGCTTCATAAGAGTGGGCGGGCACTAAAGAGCTCTTTTGACAATTTGCTTGTTTCAGTTCTCTGATTGGTGGAGATTTCTGTACAGAATCATGGGTAATGTAGTTTAATGTAGGAATTCTGCTGTTAAAAAGTATCTAAAAATAAGTTAAAATAATGACTGACAACTTCAACAAAAGCATATACCATTGATTAACAATACCGTAGCTCACAGAAGGTCTGTCTTTAAAGTTTTATAAGTTAGCACTCAATAGTGTAAGTTTGAAGGCGGGATTATCTTTTTGTCCGACCAATGGCAGACAGGAGGAGTGTTCAGGAAACTGATCTGAAAGCAGTTTGGTGCTGTTAATGGCACAGAAATTGCACGCTCCATTTCTAAAGAATATTTAGAGCTCAAATGAATACTTAAAAAATTATCTCCTTCATACTGGTGCATCAATCAAAGATTTAGAGTGTCCATAACATCTTATTACAAGTTGACATGCACATTTACTCTATTAAGTCCTTCATACTGATATATCAATCAAAGCAAGGCAAAAATTTGAGAGAATTTTAAAAACCCCTTGAAAATCCATTCTCCAAAAATCGACCTCATTACATCTTGACATGCAGTTTTGTTCGGTTAAAGCTTCAGCCTCTCTCTCGATAACCCTCTCCACGATCACAGCACCCTGATCCTGCAGAGTCTAATCAGCACAGCGAAATCCATCTGGAATCTGTGAAGCACAAAAAGTCTTTGGCCAGTCGACACAACATCAGAATATCTCTGTGGGATTACTGTGATTGTATTCAAAAATGGATCAGACACCAAGTGGAAATTCGGAGTGGTGAGCTTTTGACAGAGAATTGATGATAAATGAGATTGTGTAACAGGGTGTGAATAGCCAGTGATGAGGAGTTAAAACAGGGTACTTGTGAAGGGTGACAATAAAGCAGCACTACTTAATGCAAAGACATGCTAGTTAAAGTATAACTCTATTACTATTATATAAATATATATATATATATATATATATATATATTAGTGCTGTCAAAAGTTTTAGTTTAAAAAATATATGTGTGTACCGTGTATATGTCACGTTCACTACAGTGAGGGAGCGCGGAGCGAGGAACGAGGAGACAAGGAGACGAGGAGTACATCACCAAGGAGACTTGACTTTAATAACATTCAGGGAACCAGGAAAACACACGTAGCAGAGGAGGTGGACAGACGTGGGGAGTGGAACCCTCTCTGGGCCAAACTCGGGGACTGGGGTCCTCTCTGGGCCAAAGTCGGGGACTGGGGCCCTCTCTGGGCTAAACTCGGGGACTGGGACCCTCTCTGGGCTAGACTCGGGGGAAGGAGCTCTCTGTGGGCTAAACTCGGGGCCAGGAGCCCTCTATGGGCTAAACTCAGGGACAGGAGCCCTCACTGGGCTAAACTCGGGGACTGGGACCCTCTCTGGGCTATACAGTTCCAGACAAGGAAGAATGGAAACACACACGGCTTAAATAATAAGGGAGCTAATGGGACACACCTGGGAACAATAGAACTAAAAGGGGAACACCTGGAAACACAGTCGGGACAGGAACAGGAAGACCAAATAAGGACATAAACATAACCTGGAGCATGTGGGGGAAGAAAACACACACAGACATGGAACAGAGTCTGACATTACAGGGGTGGGCGCCCTGGAGGCTGGTGCAGGACTGGGACACATGGAATACCTCCAGGGCGGATCAGGCAGTCCAGGGTGCCATGGTGGAGCAGGGAGCTCTGAAAGCCATGGCGGAGCAGGCAGCTCGGGGTGCCATGGCGGAGCAGACAGTTCAGGAGGCCATGGCAGAACAGGGATGGTGCTGACACTGGAGTGGGCTCTGGGGCTGGAGCCGACACGGGAGCGAGCCTAGGGACTAGCAGCAACTGCCTTTTCCTCCTTAGATTCCTAGTTAGGTTCGGGGTTCGGCGGACTTGACACTGGAGCGGCCGGCGGGCTTGAGTATGCCGCGGCCGGAGGACTTGACTGAGAAACGTCCGGCGGGCTTGAGTATGCCGCGGCCGGCGGACTTGACTGAGAAACGGCCGGTGGGCTGGACACTCTCCAGACACCGGAGGATCCCTTCCCTCCAGCTCAGTCCTGTGGTG